CAGCAGGACCCAGTCTCCAGGACAAAAGTGGCACAGGTGAACATCTGCAGGAAACATTAAGCTGCTAGAAGCAAACTTATATAGAGCAGTTAGAGTAGCTGCCAATGATTCTACACACCTGACATTATCTACGTTCCTTAATTTGAATTCCTTCTGGATCTCAAACCATTTCTGGAACAATGGCAGGGTCTCTCATACAACATTTCATAGTTGGCTCAACTGGAGCCTGCTTGTAGGGTCTACCTTCACTCAAAGCAGGGCAACTGGTGAGGCTTTATCCCAGGTTAAATTAATCTGACAAATTTTAGTTACATGATTCCTCTTTTCCTCATCACAAAAGAGTATGATTCCGCTTTTCCGGTTTGCAACTAGATTGGGGTCGCCAAGAAGCATGTACTTTCCAACAACGGTTTAAGACTCGGGATACTTTTTGAGTTATTCTTGCTATAAAGGCCCCTCCATTGTCACTCTGAATGAACACAGGTAACCCAAACCTAGGAATTATTTCTTTTAGTAGAGCTTTAACAACCTCAGGCTTTTTCAGACCAGCAAGGAAATGCTTCTACCCAGCCAGTGAAAGTGTCCACAAATACTAATAAGCACCTAAGGTTTCCAGTGGCTCTTGGCATCACAGTGAAGATCTTCTCCCAGCCCAGTACCTGGAGTCTGAACTCCTTTGATTAATGGCAGTGGCCCAGTTTTAGGATTATTTTTAGCACATGCCATGCATTTCTGTATCACCTTTTGAAGGTTCCTTTGCATGTTTGGTCCTGTAAGGAATTTCTGAATCCACTAGAGGGTGGCATCTCTCCCACAGTGGGTGCTCTGGTGTATACAACATATTACATCTTCCATAAGGCATTCAGGTACAAGGATCTTGCTATGTCTGTTATAAACCCACCCTTCCTAGAGTCAGCATCCTGAGAACGGCCAGAACTCCAATCAGAGCCCCACTCATTGGCCTTAAGTCTTCAGGAAAATACCTTGGATAGCATCTTGTCAGATCCACATCAGGGGATCAGGGTCAACATTGGGCATCTAAGGTGCTTCAGTCCTGGCTGCTAGCTCTGCTGCTTGATCTGCTAGATTATTCCCTTGAGCAGTCAGACAGTCTGATTTCTGATGTCCTGGACAGTGGACATTCATTCTTTTTTTTTTTTTTAAAGATTTTTAATTTTAATTTTATTTTTATTTATTTATTTGTGCTGTGTTGGGTCTTCGTTTCTGTGCGAGGGCTTTCTCTAGTTGTGGCAAGTGGGGGCCACTCTTCATCGCGGTGCGCGGGCCTCTCACTATCGCGGCCTCTCCCGTTGCGGAGCACAGGCTCCAGACGCGCAGGCTCAGCAGTTGTGGCTCACGGGCCCAGCTGCTCCGCGGCATGTGGGATCTTCCCAGACCAGGGCTCGAACCCATGTCCCCTGCATCGGCAGGCGGACTCCCAACCACTGCGCCACCAGGGAAGCCCCCTGGACATTCATTCTTTTGGCTCCATGACAGCTTCTAATAAGGTTAAAATTTCTTTGGCAGGTTTAATTTCCTCTTCCCTGCAGTTAACATCCTCTCCCTCTCCAAATGGCCCCAGCATGGACCACCAAGAAAGTATATCTTAGAATCACTGAAAATAGTTACTCTCTTATCTTTACCTGTATGGCGGGCTCTCATCAGGGCTATAAGTTCCACCTTTTGTGAGGACGTGGGGGAAGGGCTTCTGCTTCCAGTGTCTTTGGGATGAGTTACCACTGCACACCCAGCTTTGCATTGTTCCTGGTCCATAAAGCTGCTACCATCTGTGAACATAGCAAGGACTGGGTCCTCCAGTGGTTGGTCCATCAGGTCTAGATGGCTGGAGTAGCCCTGTGCAATTACCTGAATACAATCATGCATAGGCTCTTCAGTATTAGCTGGGAACAAAGTGGCAGGACTCAAGGTGGAGACTGCTTTCAGAGTAACATTAGGATTATCCAATAATATAGCCTGATATTTTCCTCATCTTCCTGAAGTTAACCAATATCCTCCCTTCTGTTCTAGGAGGAGAAGTGCACAGTGAAGGGTATGCACTGTGGTAGGTTGTTTTAGTGTAAATTTCTCTGCTTCTCGTAAAAGATCACAGGTACCTGCTATAGCCCAAAGACAAAGTGGCCATCCCTTAGCAACCGTATCTAACTGCTTTGAGAAATATGCAACAGGCCTCCTTATGCCGCCCAGTTTCCCAGTCAGGATTCCAAGGTTGATTCCTTGTCTCTCATGAACAAATAAGTCAAAGGGCTTTCTGATGTTATCTGGAAGACCTAAAGCCAGGGCAGTTAGCAGTTTTTCTTTGATAACCTGGAATGCCTTATGGCATTTCCCTAGTCCAGTCTTGAGGTCCACTGTCTCCTCCTTTAAGAGCTTCCTAAAGGGGTTTTGCAATGAGTCCAAAGTTGGGGATCCAAATGAGGCAGAACCCAGCCATTCCTAGGAATCCCTGCAGTTGTCTCTCGGCAGTGGGAACGGCAACCCTGACTAGAGCTTCCTCTGTCAGCGGGCAAGTCTCTCTGCACTTGTGAGAGTTCAAAACCCAAATATTTGACAGAGGGCAGAAAATGTGTGCCTTTTTCTTGGACACATTATAGCCTTATTCAACCAAAAATTCAAAGTCAAAACCGTATTCTGGTCTGAGGTGTCCTTTGTCTTACTAGCAATCGGAATGTTATCCACATACTGCATCAAGGCTCCCTCAGTTAGTTGAGGGTCCCTCAGATCTTTTGCCAGGATTTCTCCAAGTATTGTGGGGGAATTTTTTTTTTTTTTTTTTTTTTTTTTTTTGGCCATGCTGCACGTCATGCAGGATCTTAGTTCCCCGACCAGGGATCAAACCCGCACCCCCTGCAGTGGAAGCATGGAGTCTTAACCAGTGGACCGCCAGGGAAGTCCCTTCTGGGGGAATTTTTAAATCCCTGAAGAAGCATGGTACTGTTAACTTTTGTATCTAGATCTTACTATTCAAGAGCTAACGACTCTTGGGATTCAAAACTCATGGGTATACAAAAAAAAAGGGAATCCTTCAACTCTACTGCAGTAAACCAACAAAAATCTCCAGACAAAGTAGTGAGCAGAATATATGGGTTAGGGACTACTGGATGCATATCTTCTACGATTTGATTAATTGCTCTTAAGCTGTGCACAAACCGATATTCATCTGTGCCTGGTTTCTGGACCGATAAAATTGGAGTCTTATAAGGTGACGGCATGGGCGTATTAAATCATGTTCAAGGAGGGCCAGTAACAGGGGTTGAATTCCACACTTTGCCTGCTCCTTTAACGATTACTGCTTTAAGTTTGGAATTTTTGCCCCAGAGTGAAGTCTAACCTGTCTAGGCTTAGCCATCTTTGCTCTCCCTGGCCTCCCATCTGCCCATACCTCCAGACTCACTCCCTGCAGTATCTCATCCAGAATCGTTGCTAGCTGTCCTCTTTAAGGTCAGAGCAATAAAGCCTGCAGTGCGCAAGCCTGTTCTGGTGATACTTTAATACCCATTCGTCCAGGTGCAAAGGTAACCTTGGCAGTAAATTTAGTTGGCAAATCTCATCCCAGAAGGAGAATGGGGTATTCAGGCATGTATAGAAAGCTATACTTCAGATGGGTTTTCCCCATCTGGCAGTCTAGCAGCAGGAGAAAAGACTTTTTCGAGATTTCTCCAGACACCCCAGTTACTAAAACACAATCTCAGAAGAAAGTTTAGAAAGCTGGGTATTTAAAAACCAAGTGAGTGGCCCCAAATTGGTCAGAAAATCTGAACGTTGATTTCCCACCCTCATCATCACTGGGGACTCTGTAGGAGAGACATTGATGGATTTTGACAGGATTTAAAGGAAACCCTGGGCCCCATCATTCTCAGTTGGGGCATCTGGTGTGCCACTTGTTGTTTACCTTCTTCAAGAGTCTTATTTAGGATGGGACACTCCTCTCCAGTGTCACTGGAGGGGTCCCGCTATGGGGTGCTCCATTCGAGTGGAAGCTTGGGGCCGCCTGACTTTCGCTGAGTCCCTTGTGTGGGTCCTCGAATTGATCCAGCTCTTTCCTGTGTTAAGGCAGCCGCCAGCAGAATGGCCTGCCGTTTCCGTCTCTCTTGTTCCCTTTTCTCCCGAACCTGGTGTCTGCCATTAAAAAAAGGCAATTTCAACAAGTTGAGACATAGGCATCCCTAAAGCCCCTTCCAACTTTTGCAGTTTCTTCTGTATACTGGGGGTGCTCTGGCCAATAAAAGTTGTTTTGGTACCCCTCTTCGCAATGAAGAATGAAATCTTCATTTCAATCTGCAAGAATGAAATCTCAGTAACGTTCAAGTTTTGGCCTATCCCCATTTCATTTCAATCTGCAAGAATGAAATCTCAGTAACGTTCAAGTTTTGGCCTATCCCCAACATTCACATCCCAATTAGGATCCACTGTTGGTACAGCTACGCTTGCTGCAGCCCGTACCCGGTTGCCAGGGGTTTCAGTATGAAGCCAATATGCCTCGTCCCTAGCTCTATCCAGCACCATTCTAGTTGTCCAGTTCTTCTGAAATGAGGAAGGTATTTAACACATTTTGAGCATCTGCCCAGGTTGGGCTGTGAGTTGCAAAAATTGATGAAAAAAGATTTTCCATTCCCTTTGGGTTATCTCTCTAAAGTTGGCATATTCTTCTGATTAAATACATCTAAAGCTGAAAAGGGGGAGTGGACCCAGATCAGTCCCATTGGCTGCCCGGTCTCAGCATTCACACCCACAACCGGGACTTACCTTAACAGATATTGCCCCACCTGAGCTCGGGTAGCTCCCTGGCCAAACTGAGTACCCTGATCAGTACGCAGTATGAGAGGGGAAGACCGTTCCTATTTCTGGATCTAATGGGGGTGGGGAGGTAGGGGTGGGGATGAACCTGAGTCTGTGACTCAGGCGCTGGCAATGAAAGAACAGCAGCACCATCATATAAGGGTGGGGGAGGAGCAGTCGAAGCGGCGTTCGACTGAATTAGTAGCAAGTCATCCTCCTGTTCATTAGAATCAAGCAAAACAGGTTTCTTTGCCTTCCCTTCCTGTTGGACCATAATCTTACAATAACGTATCAATATTCGGATACAGTAACATAAAAGACCATACATAAATTATTTCACCTTATTTTTCTTCCCATTTACAAAATCTAGTTGCAAAACTGTAATTCAAGGATCCACTCAGACCGTTTTGCTCCAGGGTCTTAAGGATATTGTGGCCATGCAGTGTTACCAAAAAAAACCCCATAAAAACAAAAACCTTTTCCATGAATTTGTAACTGAAAGTCTCCCAATTTTGGAGAATGTTGCCTAGAGGTCTGCAAGGGGGAACTGAATTAATATTTCCCCTTTTGAAGAGGCTTTGCTTCCAGGTGGTCACAGCAGTGAAATTTTTCCAAGGGTCCTTGCTACAGTCACCAAGAAGTTGAATCCCCAATTGCCAATCCTTAGCAACTTAAGACAATCAGCCCTAGGTGGACATGGACAAAAGAAGACCAAAACAAAACCAAAAACCAGAGCCCCGGGCCTTTAACCCAGGTATGGAGGTCAGAATTGCCAAACAATCTAGGCACAGGTGCATTTCTTTAACAAGGTTACTCACCCAAAGACGTCTTCCAACGCCAAATCCCCAAAACTGTCTCCTTGCTGCAAAACTAAGCACTGAAGGTCAGCAGCACCTCACCAGGGAAACCCAGAGGATGGTCCCTGGAAAAAACGGGCAAGGGAGCTGCTTGGACTCACCCACAGGCTCTCAATACTGCAAGGGGCCAACCAACCACAGCCAAAAGGTCCATCTGGACTTACCTCCTGGCTGGTTTGCCATATTTGTTACCAAACTAGGTTCCTTTTGCCCTAGCATAGCAGCCAAAATGCTGAGACACTGAGGTTTACAGCAAAGAGAGGGTTTATTGACAAGGCAGCCAAGTGAGGAAAGGGAGAACAAATCTCAAATCTGCCTCCCTGAAGGCAAGGTGCTCAATGTATTTATAGGAGAAAGCAGCAGGGCATCTGAGGTGTAAGGAGTGTGGGGAAAGGTGATTAGAAAAAGGTGCAGTAATCATGGTCCTGGGCAGGTGTAACCGGGCTACACAGGCCTCTCCACCTTCAGACGGGCACTAATAGTACCCTAGTGCATGCCTAGTTGAAGGGTCAGTGGTCCCCTCCAGTCTTAATCAGCTCAGCTCGAACTAGATGCAGCTGATTCCAAGTTCCTGGAAAACAACTCGGGCAAGCGTCTTATTTAGGCTGTGTACTGCTTGGAGGACATTCAAGTCTTCTGTAGCAACAATTAAAACAACCTTGATTAGCGAAGGCAGGTTATAGGTGGAATGGATTTAACTAATGATTACACACAGTTTCAGAAAATTGGAGAAGCAGGGGCTCTGGAGTCAGATATCTGGATTCAGTCCTGGTGCAGTCTTAGTATCTCTGTGCCTCAATTTTCTCACCTGTACTATAAGTAAGGATGCTGTCTCATAGGGAGGTGAGGGCTAATCAATGAATTCATGCAAAACTATGAAGATGACATCTCATAGGGGTGTGAGGCCTAATCAATGAATTCCTATAAAGGGCCAAGGATAGCACCTATTTGGAAAAGGCTCAATGCATATTAAAACTATTATTCCCCTTAAGAATAAAAGTTAGGGGTGCCTCTTTTTTAAATAAATTTATTTATTTAATTTATTTATTTTTGGCTGCGTTGGGTCTTCATTGCTGTGCGGGAACTTTCTCTAGTTGCGGCGAGCGGGGGCTACTCTTCATTGTGGTGCACGGCCTTCTCATTGTCGTGACTTGTTGCAGAGCACGGGCTGTAGGCGTGCAGGCTCAGTAGTTGTGGCTCACGGGCTCTAGAGCACAGGCTCAGTAGTTGTGGCGCACGGGCTTAGTTGCTCCGCGTTATGTGGGATCTTCCCAGGCGAGGGACTGAACCCGTGTCCCCCGCATTGGCAGGTGGATTCTTAACCACTGCGCCACCAGGGAAGTCCTAGGGATGCCTCTTGAAGCAGATAACATCCTTATAAAGTTACCTGAGGATCGTAAGGGAGGGACTGATGGACTGGCCCTCGGCTGTGAGTTGGCAAGAAGACAGTTGAGGAGAGAAGGAGGTGGTTATGAGTCCACTCACATTTTGTGGACTTTCCCTCTCTACGCCCAGGGCTGGAACTGCCTAGGAAGTAATTAGCGCTTGTCCAACGTTAGAGAAGAACCTCTGTTCTGTTCTCTTCCATCTGGATCCCTGTTCAAACGTCAGTCAGTTACCGCCGAGCCACTCTGAGTGTCCGTCTTTGTTCCCGCCCACAGTCAGTCTACACCAGGACGTGGCTTTCTTGTACATCAGCCCTTAGACCTACTTGCAGAAAGTTCTTGCTCCTTGATTACACACTTGCACAGAATTCCTCTTGTGAACCAGACCTTTATCTTGATGTCCTTGTGGAACACTGTGGCCCTCAGTCTTCGCAGTGGCACTCAGGCGTCCCGGGAATGGCTGCTCTCTCCCTTTGGCTGGATGCCCCAGCTCTGCTCTGTGGCCTGAGCCCTCTCTTTCTCATGATCAGAATTCTTCCTGCTTGTATCCTCTACATTGTTGGCTTGGTCCCAGTACCATAATGACTCTGAGGCAGTGAGAGGGACCACACTCAGTCCCTTTGGCAAGAAGAGTATCTTCCCGATTAGGTCCAGGCTGAAAAGAGGTCCTCCCTTCCCCTCCCTTGTCCTTCCTCAGCAGACAAGATAGCACTTCCTGTAAACTGCCAGTAAGTGCTGTCTCTCCCACAGTAAGCATCAAGTTTTTCCCATTCCAACATTTCTCAGCCATAGGCTGCATTTCTTCTCCTTTGTTTTTGCGTCTGTGGAACAACACGAAAGTCGAGAAGGGCTCTCCTTCGTGAGAGTTGCCCTTTCCCATCCTTGTCTAAAAATCACTAGGTTCCTAGAAACAATGACCTAGGTTAGCATTTTCCAATTATCTGTGGTGGAGGACCAGGTTTCATAAATGTCTAATTTGTCACAGATCAATACTTTTGTAAAATACAATAAATGTGAATGACTAGAAAACTGAAATACAAACAAAAAATATAAGCCCAGTGATCACGTGCTTGAATGACAGCCGTATCAAATTGCTATAAAAGCTTCTAAAGGCTTACTCCTAGTTCCCTGCTGACCTTGTCACTGCCGGGACAATCCGTGGAGCCCAATGTGGGGAGCACTGACTTGATGCCAAAGTGCTGCTCAAAAAGGACCAACCGGGGCTTCCCTGGTGGCGCAGTGGTTGGGAGTCCGCCTGCCGATGCAGGGGACGCGGGTTCGTGCCCCGGTCCGGGAGGATCCCACGTGCCGCGGAGCGGCTGGGCCCGTGAGCCGTGGCCGCTGAGCCTGCGCGTCCGGAGCCTGTGCTCCGCAACGGGAGAGGCCGCAACAGTGAGAGGCCCGCGTACCGCAAAAAAAAAAAAAAAAAAAAAAAAAAAAAAAAGGACCAACCGTTTCATTGAAGCATCTGTTATCTTCTCTGGACATTTTTAGATTGTTTCCACCATGAGGTGCAAAACGAGAAAGGAGCATAAGAAACAGGCGGAGAAGGGAAAAGCCAACCAGTCGAGCTCTGCCGGGACACCCTCCCCGTGGTTTCTCCCCCAAAGCCACTCTCTCCCCACCTCGCCCCTCCGCCCCAGCACCCAGAAGGCCCACAGAGCCGGGCGCCCCTCCAGCGTCCCCTGCAGGGTCCCCCTGGACCATTGGGTGCGGCACTCCGTGGACCTGGAGCTGGAGAGGTGTCGGCAGCAAGCGGGCTTCCCAGAGATCAAGGAGAAGGAGGAACCCTTGCCCTTGGCATCCGAAGCGGACCCGGAAGCTGAGGGGCGGCGGGAGCCCACTCAGGAGGAGTGGAGGCAGGTGGGTGTGGCCGGCGCTGCTCTCTGCAGTTTGGCTGCCTTTGGGAAGGAGCAAGGATTTCAGAAAAAAACGAACAAATTCCTCCTTCCGTGTAAATTCAGTGGGTTTTTTTTCGCCCCTCTTTCTCTCCCTCCCTGGGGTTAGAACACCCCAGAAGGATATTGGTATTTGCCTAATGACTCATACTTTGGAGTTTTATAAAGGATGGGAAGATGTAGTAGGTGGGCTGTATTGTCTGAGTAAACTTGGTTTAGTGACCTAGCAGCACTGGGCTAAGAAAGTCAGCCACAATTTATTGGATGCTATTTTATATATATCTGACATCTATCAGTTGGCTGCTGTGGCTCAAGGCCAGAAGGGCTACATCGGCTGCTTCTGTCTTCCGTTTTCAGGCAACTAAAGGCTTTTCCAAAATCTTCAGAACTGCATCCCATGGCCACCCCTAGCTGCAAGGGAGAGTGCGAAAGCAAGTATTTAGCCAGGCACATTGCCATGCCAAATACCCCAGGAAGAGATCTGCTGGCTAGAAAGGAGAACGGACATTGAGTAGGCGCGCACAGCGCTTGCCGAAATAGATGACTCTGGCAGCCAAATGGGGGGCACTTCCCCAGGCCAAGACTTTGGCAGGGAGACCTGTAATCCAGGTGGGAGGTTCTGCTGCCGGTGATCTTGTGTAGCAGTGCTAATAGGACTACCTGAACTCATTGGTGGTCAACCATTTTCGACCCACGAAAAATGGCAGCTTCTTATGCCTCATTCAATAAAGAAAAGGAGAGAATTCAGAATTGCTGATGGATTGGATGGAGGGTGGGGAGAAAGAGGAGGAATCGCAGGTGACTCTGAGGCTACAAACCTCCAAGAAAGAGATGGTGAGTCTGGGTTACATTCTCCCTGAGTTATCGATCTGGACCTCAACATCGACTTAGAACTGAAACTTTAAAATGCGAGTCTCTCCTTTTGCAAAATACGCCTTTTCTCTCTAGGTGGTGGATATACTGTGGAGTGACCCCATGGCTCAGGAGGGCTGCAAGGCCAACACCATTCGAGGAGGTGGCTGTTATTTTGGGCCTAACGTGACAGAACGGTTGCTACAGAAATACAATCTGCAATTCCTGATCCGCTCGCACGAGTGCAAACCCGAGGGCTATGAGTTCTGCCACAGCCGCAAGGTGGGCAGGCCTCCGCCATCGCGCAAGAGTGGTCCGGTCCATTTTGCCCTTCCAGGACATGGATGAGCTAAGGCTCTCAGCTCTTCACTATCAGCTGTGCCTTGCAGTTGTTATCCACTTGCTATCCACTTGCCCAAAGTAACTAGGTCCTTTACAGTCATTTATCCTTGACTTTTGTAGCCTCTTTAAAACCCCAAGTTTGACTGAGGCCACCACTTACCAATACCCTGAGAGGAAAGTGAGGGGCAGATATGGTCCCATTTCATGGGTGGAAATATGGCCCAGTGTTTTCCCAGCCACATCTCTATTCTTTGTCACATTGCTTACTGTCACAGGTCTCAAACTACACTGTAGGGTAACAGGATCTCTGCACTGAGCCCCAGGCAGGCATTCAGGATTGTCTGTCTCCTCAGGAGCATAATTAACATCCTGTCTAAATCTTTGGGCATCTCCAAATCCTACAATGTTTGCTTAGCCTAATGCCCAGAAATACCAACTCTACAGGAGAATTACAGGTTTCCACGCTGAGGAAAAAAGTTTGACATCAACTAATGTAAGAAATGTTTAACAGGAATGTTAAACACTTGTATAAGTTTCTTTATTGCAGGACTTCTGAGAGCCTTTAATTTCCTATATTCATTGTAAATCTCCAAGAAGAGATACAGTGTCTAGCGTTTCCCATTGTCTTGACAAGGGAAACTTTTTTCACGGAGCATCTCAGCAGGCCCAACACTCCAAAGGAAACTCTGCTGTGAGGCTTCACACCACCTTTAATAACTGATCTGCCTGCTAGTTGTAACGGGCATCCCAGTTGATCAGACCTAGCTTACCTCTGAGTCGAACCAAATGAAGTGTTTTCTATGACCGCTGCTATTTTTGATTGGGATAAAAATGTGAAGAAAACATGTTGTGGACGTCCTATCAGAATTCAAGTTTTTATTACTTGAGTCATAACTCCTGCCCTACTAGCATTAATGATAAAAAATAAATAAATAAAATGAAACAAAAAAAGCATAGACGAGATCAAGAAGGAACAGCCACCCCTGAAATTGGGTTGGGCCCTGTAGGGTTGAGGGTGAAGTGTTCATCAGTGAACCTGAATGCTCGTCTCTTTCCTGTTTTTTCATTTAGGTGTTAACCATCTTTTCTGCCTCCAACTACTACGAAGTTGGCAGTAACAGAGGAGCCTATGTCAAACTAGGGCCGGCCTTGACCCCGCACATTGTGCAGTTTCAAGCTAACAAGGCAACCCACACGCTTACCATGAGGCAAAGGCAAGACTTTTCAATGAATGATTTTCAGAAAGACAGAATTATAGTGTTTGTGGAAACTTTGAAGTGCAAATGTCATTACATTTATCCAAATTCTAAGTCAGAGTTCAAAATTTAGCTGTGTCAGCAGTAGGACCTAGAAAAGACATTACAACAGGGCCTCTTCTTTCTCCTCCATATACTCTAAAATCTCCACCTACCCATCATTAATGGAAGGGACAAATTTGCTCCCTGCAGAAATTATTCTCCATGGGTATTGCCTTGGGTGAAATCCATATACCAGGCCACTAAATCTTTCCAGGGTCACTCTTCCTTTTTCTTTCATCCTTAAAGCGTTTGTGTTACCTGGTCAACCACAGGCAAAGGTTCTTTCACTATCTAGGGATTTAGCAGTGCACACATTTGTTAACAATGCTCCTTTCTTCCTGGGAAGAGAGCATATAATATTACTTAAATGGTTTCTGTTGAGATGATTCTGAGTTCTAATCTTAGTTGAGAGCTTACTATACACCAAGTGTTACTGTAAAGAATTTATATATTGTTTCACGATGAGCTTATAAAATACACAGCATTACTAATTTCAGTTTTATAGATGAGATCATTAAGGAACAGAGGTTAAATCAGTGGCCATTGGCCACACAGCTAGTAAGTGGTGAAAGTAAGCCTTGACCCAGACAGTCTTATTTCAGAACCCACATACTTAACAACTCTACAGTGCTGTTGCCCACTGAGAAGCTGGCCCCGGAGTATATAAGCTGCTGAAAGATACAGTTGCAGTGCTGCTGAACAAGCTTCTTTAATTATCAGCCAAACTAAATTAGAAATCACAACAAAGTCAGCATAGGGACTTCCCCGGCAGCACAGTGGTTAAGAATCCGCCTGCCAATGCAGGGGACACGGGTTCAATCCCTGGTCTGGGAAGATCCCACATGCCGTGGAGCAACTAAGCCCGTGCGCCACAACTACTGAGCCCACGCACCACAACTGCTGAAGCCCGTGCGCCTAGAGCCCGTGCTCCGCAACAAGAGAAGCCACCGCAATGAGAAGCCCGCGCACCGCAACGAAGAGTGGCCCCCCACTCGCTGCAACTAGAGAAAGTCCGTGCGCAGCAACGAAGACCCAACACAGCCAAAAATAAAATTTTCTTAAAAGTGAAATAATGTAATTTTTTTTTAAAGTCAGCATAAATCTAGTGGGAAAAGAATACAGGAATATTTAATATCTGCCTCGTATGAATGCCATAAAAGTGCATTATTTTAAATCACTCGAGTTATTAAATACTCAAGAGTTACTAAACACTCAAGTTTTACACAATCAGAGCCAGCATCACTCAAAAAGAAGTATTATGTGAAAATTTAAGCTCACCAAATGATAGTGAAACCTACTATGCTACAGAATCATCTCTGGAGCTTTATAAAAAATCATTTATTGGAGCCTCATCCCACCCCTCCCAAATTAGAATCTCCAGGGGTGGGCCCCAGGAACCTGGAATACCATGATTCCATGCCATTTAGATGTTCCCACCACAAAAGGAATCACTGTGAGGAACCCTACAAATAACATGTTTTAATACCATAATTAAAGAACACTCACCTTTTAAAAATATTCACTGATTGCATTAAAGCAAGTACAACATCCCCTAATTTATGCAGAAGTCACTTGTCTAACAATTCCAACTATTTGGACCACAATAGAGAACTAAGAAGTAAAGAGGAAAATGTCTCGGACAGCCATAATGGATGTCTCAGTGTCCATCAACTCAAGATCATGTGTTTTTCCTAGAGGAACCCTCATTCAGAATCCATTTATTTTTGGTTTAAACCCATGTCTCATGATAATAGTTTAGCCAGCCTGGAGTCCACTTGTCAAGACTGATTTCTGGCCCTACCCCTTACTAGCTATGGGACCTTGGGCTAGTTACTCACACTGTAATAGGCATAATAGTTGGACCTACCTCAGTGGGTGTTGGAGGATTAATCAGATGATCCATGCGGAGCTCAATATGAGCTGCTTGACGTAGGCACAGAGAGCCTTGTGCATCCAGGCAGCTCTCAAGGCCATTGCTATACTCCATCCCTGCATGATAACCATCAATGAGCACAGTTTACCAGAAATAGTTTAAATGCTTTTCAAACCAGTGGTTCTTAAACTTTTAGGGGGTCCCATACTTTTTTTAGCCTCTGATAAGACAACAAACTCACCAGAAAAAGCACATACGCTCACATACCCATGAAATCTGAGATGAATTTTAGGCAGCTCACACTTTTCTGAGGGTTTATGGAGACCATTATGCTAAGTACCTTAAATTTCAAGGAAGACTTTCATCAAACATGATTAAAATGGGGTTTTTTGGTTTGTGTTTTGGCCTTTTTTTACTTTTAGCACTTGAAAAGATAGGTTATCTGGTCATCATTTATAGAATGGCTGCTTCCTCAATGACATAGGACAAAGTATATATTTACCTTTTATCTCTTTTTATATTCTTGTTTATTCAACTACAGATATTTACTGAACACATTTTAGGCCAAGTACCATGCCCAGCATTACTCTGTTGACCCAGTAAGCATAAGAAAACTAACTTAGTGATACTTTGTTATTCATAAATCCTGCCTTGTGACTGTTCAATGTAATAATAAATTACAAGGAAAGCATATGATTATGGTAACAGACACCATTTGATGAGTGCTTTCTATGTGCCGGGCTTTCTTCTAAGTGCTTTACGTGAATTTACTTATTTAATCTTCACAATAATCCTGTGAGTTAGGTACCATTTTTGTCACTATTTTGCAGATGGAGAAAATGAGGTCCAGTATAATTAGATAACTTTACCACAAAGGTGGTGTTTCTCTAGAACTTCTGCTCTAACCACTGTCCTACACTGGGAAGGACAGCAGCATTCCCCAGACAGATCCTATCTGTGCACAGCAGGGCAAAGCAGGAGAGCATTGGGGAGAAAAAAGAGATGAGCTCTTTGAAGGTTGAGACATTAAGAAAGAGAGAGGAGAAACTTAGTAAAAATCCAAGACTATTTATTCTATACTAATGTTTTAAAATGTTCCTTTTCATCTCCTGTCCCAGGATTAGCAGAGTTGGGGAGTCGGCTCTGAGAGCCCTACGTGAAAAGTTATTTGCCCATTCCTCAGATCTTCTTGTTGCATTTAAGAAGCATGATAAAGATAAAACTGGTAAGACTAATCAAGTAAAATATTCATAGAGGAGGGCAGCTGGCCAAAAAACCCTCTGTTTCAGGTAATTAGCAAATAAATATTTGTTTAAATGACCAGAAGACCTTTTTGAATACGTCCTCCCTTATTCAACTTAACATCCTAGTTATCGTTCCTAAATTCATAAATTCTAAGCTTTTAGAAGAACGTGAACTTAGCTAAATATAAACAAAGCTGGTGAAAAGAAATGGGGTCCAGGGAAGGGTGACAAGGCCAGAACTAAGTCAAAAGAAACAGGGGCACAGGTTACCAGAGTGGATCCAAGACTAACAAAAGATCAAGGATTTGGTTTCTCACTGTTAAGTGCGTGCTTGTCTGTTCCTTGTTCTATTATCCAAGCTGGAAATTTTGTCTTTTCTCAACTCAGTGGAATGTCTAATGGACATTGACTACATGTAGCCCTGTTAAAAAATAGCAGTAACAGTCATAAAATCATAGCACTATCTTTTCGTACACATAGAAATAACCAATGCTATGTATACATGTGTGTGTGTCTGTGTATATGTATTGTGTGTGTGTGTGTGTGTGTGTGTGTGTGTGTGTATATATATATATATATATATATATATAGTGTTTTATGATATTATTTACAAGAGTCTTGTGTGACTTCCAGGAGTATTGCCAAATAGATTTGGCAAATAAAAACAGAATGCCTAATTACATTTGAATTATAGACAACAGTTTTTAAATATAAGTATGTCCCATGCAATATTTGGGACATACTTATAGTCTGTCTGAAAATCAGATCTACTGAGCATCCTGTATTTTAGCTGGCAACCCTACTTTCCAGCCAACTCTACCATAACCAAGAAAAACAATGACAGTACTCATTATTTCTATTATCTACCGATAGTAAGAAGAATGTCAGGATAAAAGATTTGTAGGTGATGAGTCAACAAGTTAGCTCTTTCCTATAGGTCTAATCACCCTGAGTGACTGGGCAGCAGCCGTGGAGTCTGTGTTGCATCTAGGACTGCCATGGCGGATGCTGAGGCCACAGCTGGTGAGCAGCTTGACAGATAACAAGCTGGAGTACAAGTCCTGGCTGAAAAATTTGGCCAAAGAACAATTCAGCCATGAGGTAAGGGTGTGAAAATGGTGGATGAAGGCACACTGTGGACCGTAAAGCCCCTTATGGAGAACTTTGAATCATAACCAAATACTGAGAACCCCAAAGGGAAGATAAATGGAAACAACTATTCGTTGAGTTTCTATGTGTCAGACTTTGTGTTAAGTGACCTACACATATTGCCTCAGTTCATCCTCAAAACCACCTCCAAGAGGTAGGTATAATCAGCACCAACATACCCAAGAGAACACTGCTCACAACGGTTAGATAACCTGCCTAGGATAATAGAGTTTCTAAGTTATAGAACTAGAACTCAAACCCAGGTATGACTGATTTCCTTGACATGATGCTGCTTCCCCTATTTAAAAAGGTATTTGTGGGCTTCCCTGGTGGCGCAGTGGTTGAGAGTCCGCCTGCCGATGCAGGTGACACGGGTTCGTGCCCCGGTCCGGGAAGATCCCACATGCCGCAGAGCGGCTGGGCCCGTGAGCCATGGCCACTAAGCCTGCGCGTCCGGAGCCTGTGCTGCGCAATGGGAGAGGCCACAACAGTGAGAGGCCCGCACACCACAAAAAAAACAAACAAACAAACGGTATTTGTTCGGTAAATGCTTATGTGTAATGTATGTGAGGCCTTGGGCTATGTACTTTTTTAAAAAACAGCTTTATCGCACTATAATTCCTATATCATGCAGTTCACCCATTTAAAGTGTAGAGTTCAATGGTTTTTAATATATTTGCAGATATGTGCAACCATCAACATGGTCAATTTTAGAACATTTTCATCATGAACTAGGTACTTCTTAAACCATCAGATTATTTAGTAGGCTGAAGGGGGCTGGAGTGGAGGGATCATAAAACATCTTCAGGTTCTTTCAAGAGTCTTATTGTCAGGGTTGCTTGTGTGTTAATTATCTATTAGGAGAAGCCTAAACATAAAAGATAGAAGGAAAATGAATTTTTTCTTGCAGAATATACAATCAAGTTTGCTGGAAGCACTGTATCGAAACCGATCCAACCTGGAGACCATTTTTAGGATCATAGACAGTGATCATTCAGGTAAAGGCGCTCGTTATCCTGCCACTTCTGACACAGCAAGTATTTTACCTCCCACCTTTTAGTCTCCCTGATTATTTACCTTTCTACTCAAGCGCTTTTGGAGCAAAATTAGTGGCAGTGCTTATAAATGGGCAGAAACTAGGATAGTATTTGAGCAACATGAGCTGTCCCTACGGAAGAGGGGTTGGGCAGAGAAGAATGAAGACAAACTGAATGAGAACTTCTTATAGGAAGAATTATAATAGTTGTGATATCCCTTATCCCTTCTATCAAAGTAGCCACAAAGGAATGAAGAGTGTCTAGAACAGAAAGCCTTTTGCAATCTTACTCCCAAAGTATTATTTTTCAAAATTTTAAATTTTTAAGTAATTATAGATTAGCAAGGAGTTGCCAAAAAATGTCCAGGGAGGTCCTGTTTACCCTCACCTGTTTCCTCATTGTTCCAAAGGCCTTTTCAAATATTATTACTTTTTTTGAGATACAATTCACATACCATATAATTTACCCATTTATAACGTGCAGTTCCATGCTTTTTTAGTATATTCACAAGCTTGTGTAACTATTATAGCTATCTAATTTTGGAACGTTTTCGTCACCCTAAAAAGAAACCTATACTGATTAGCAGTCACTCCCCATCCCCTGTTCCTTCTCCACCAGTCCCTGGCAACCATTAATCTGCTTTCTGTCTCTATGAATTTGCCTATTATGGACATTTCATATAAATAGACGTGTATGATACATGGCCTTTGGTGTCTGGCTTCTTTCATTTAGCATGTTTTCAAGGTTCACCCATGTTGTAGCATGTATCAGTTTATTTCTTTTTATAGCTGGATAATATTCCATTGTATGGATATATCACATTTTGTTTATCCATTCATCAGTTGATAGACATTTGGATTTTTTCCACTTTTTGGCTGTTATGAATAATGTTGTTATGAACATTCATATACAACTTTGTGTGTGAACATATGTTTTCAGTTCTCTTGGATGTATTCCCAGGAGTGCAATTGCTGGACCATATGGTAGAACGATGTTTCACTTTTGGGGGAACTGTCAAACTGTTTTTTCACAGTGGCTATACCATTTTACACTCCTACTAACATTGTAACAGGGTTCCAATTTCTCCACATTCTCACCAACACCTGTTATCCTCCATTAAAAAAATTTTTTTTTACAGCCATCCTGCTGGGTGTGAAATATCTCATTGTGGTTTTGATTTGAATTTCCTTAATAACTAATAATATTGAGCATTTTTTCATGTGCTTATTGGAACTTCGTATATCTCCTTTGAAGAAATGTCTATTCAAATCCTTTGCCCATCTTTTAATTGGGTTTTCTTTTTATTGTTGAGTTGTAAGAGTTCTTTGTATATTCTGGATATTAGGCCATTATCAGATATATGACTTGCAAATATTTTCTCTGATTTTATGGGTTATCTCTTCACTTTTTTGGTAGTGTTTTCTGATGCACAAAAGTTTTTAATTAAAAACAGTCCAATTGGGCTTCCCTGGTGGCGCAGTGGTTGGGAGTCCGCCTGCCGATGCAGGGGACGCGGGTTC